GGTGTTACAGGAATATTGCGTTGCATAGTTGTTGCATGGGTTTTTTTGTGTAATACAGCTTATATTGCTCAACCTACCTGTGTTGTAGTGTGTAGCTACTCTTCCTAACTCTGAGTGGGGTCAGGCAGTAGATCAATGCTCAGGGAAATTAACTTACTTTAATGCCCTGAACCTGACTACCTGTGGGTCATAGAGGATTAATGACCCTCTGGATTAATTAGTTAATTGGCATCCCCATGGATGGTCCTTCTCTAGCAGACCCCATACCTGGGCTGTTCCAGCACCAAGGAAGAACAGCCCCTCTTCCCAGACCTGCCTCCAACCTCTAGCCACCTGTCAGCCACAGGCAGGAAGTGGGGGGAAGCATGCTATCTGTGTCCACTGCATGAGTTCCTAAGTCATATCCCTGCACCCCCAACATTCTATCATGAAGTATCCCATGATGAGCATGCAGAACTCAACACTGACCCAAGTGCTTGGGCACAGCCTCATGGACTCCAATCCTGGCACACAAACACCACATCTCAGAGGCCAGAGAAGGCATCCTACAACCTGGACAGCAGCATAGTCATTGGTCCTGCCCCCCTCAAGAAAGAGCCATTTTGGGCAGCTCAGTTTTTGTGGGTTGGGGTGGTAGGTGGAAGAACATCAGGACTGGGCTTGCACAGAGGCAACCCGGTGATGTCTGTGGCTCAGATACTGTGTGAAGGTACCTGGACCATGTGCACCTAGAGTGCAGCAAGGCTTTCTTGGCCTGCAGATACAGGGTCCCAGACTACTAGGGCTGGGAGAGCACCCAAGCCAGGGCAAGAAGGTTGATGCCCCTGGAAATGTCAGGAGCAGGTTGCATGTGGCCAACTGTCTCAGTGTTGCAGGTAGAGGACACTGGAAATTTATGGGCTGGGGAGTGTAGTGTTGCCAGCATCATGGGTGTCTGCTGGACACCCCTGGAAAGTTCAAGGTTGTAGGTTTCCACTGGCTAGGCCACCTCCCAGTCAATCTGGAGCAGGGGCCACACATAGCTGGATTGAGGAAGAGCCATATACTGGGGCCTTTCCCTACACACCATTCCATCCATCCATCTTGCAGCTGGACCCTCATCTACATGTGCATGCCAGGGCCCCATGGGCACCACTACAGATCACGGAAGACCTCATCCCATCCTCCTCCAGTAACCAACCCCAGTCACACAACCGGAGCCATGATGATTTGTGGAATCTCATGACCATCTGGGATGAACAGGAAACCCATACCAGCTCCACCAAGAGCACTACACCAGGTATGTATTCAAGCACATTACCCAACAGGTACAAGTACAGGGCTACAACAAGGCCTAGGTGTAGTGGTGGGCCAAGATGAAATGAGGGCAATTCCAGTACAAGCAAGTGCATGACGCCAATAAAAAGTCTGGGAGCAGAAAATAGAACATGCCCTTTTACAAGGAGCTGTCCTGTTTCCTCATCATGGAGAGGCCATCCAACCCATGTATGGTACTACCAGAGAATAGAAGGAGGAAGGACTTGCTAGAAGACCCCACTGCAGGTGGAGGTACAGGAAGACCCTGGGATGACAGGATAACCAGGTGCCCAGGAGAAGGTCCCTGGGGACCACAAGGTACAAGGTCTGCTGGTGGTGGTAGTTCCTGAGAACTCTGGCCCATTGGTGCTGGTCCCTGGAACATAACAGGATCTAGGAACAGATGTGTACCTGCAGGTGGAGTTGAGCTTCTTTGGGCAAGGTCAAATGCACAGATCATGGTGCCTAGGACCAGGGGAAAAGCTCTGATGCTATGGCCATCGCAACCTAGGACCAGGACCTCCACCTCGTGGGAGCCCTCCCTACCCTCCTCAGTCCTCAACCTTGTGGACCACAGCCAAATACGCAGCCCCAGGACACTATTTCCAATGAAGCTGCCACAGATATTCCACTCCCACTCTCACAACATCTCTTTGTTGTTCCCTTCCAAATATATAAAGTGTACCCTAATCCCCCTGACTTCCAGTGCAGCAGACGCTACCACAGCACTCATGCCTAGCCTTCCTCCTGTGTTCTGATTGAAGATGAAGGCACTGAGTGAAGATGCCTTGCTTCTGAGGATGGTATGGCTCTACCATACTCCACAGAGCCATGATGGGGACCCAGGCACCAGGGAAATGCAAAGCCCCTGGGGAGAAAGAGGGAGAGGGGAGGGTAAGGAGGGAGGTAGTTATGCAATGATTCTCCAACAGCCTAAAGGTCTTTATTAGCTTTTCACCAAGGTGGTCACCAGATCCATGTGGTTGATGAATGCCCAGGTGCCTTGGGACAAGGCAGAGGATGGGGAAGTGAGTGGTCTTCATGGCCCCATGCAGTTGGGGAAACCTATGTGGTATAAGGTGGCAATGATTTTCTGTGGATTGATGAGGCAGATGAAGCAGTTGGCCAGGACATTCTGGATGCCCAAATAAACCTCCTGAACAGTCTCTCTGGCTGTGAACTTGCCCACACTGAACTGGTTGGTGATGTAATGGAGACTGCTGAGGTTGGCCAGCTTCAAGATGGCAGTGGCTACTCAGTTCTTCAGAGTGAAGGGTAGCCACCTGCTGATGTACTGGCACACAATGTGGGGGTGGGGGGTGGGAAGCTGGGTGACAGTGTCCATGAAGATGGTTTGGTGCATGTGGAAGGTCTGGACCCACTGTTTGTTGTCCTATGTGTCTAGTACAACCTGCTCTCACCAGCTGCTGCTGGTGACATAGATCCAAAACCAGTGCTCGTTGGTCTGGAGGTGGTGCCAGTGGTAGTGCCTGTGTCCATTGCATCCTGGGTGGCGTCATCTTCATCAGCCACGTAGAAGTTGGTGGCCTAGTCCAGGTTGTTTGACAGGTGATGGGCACAGGATGTATAGCTAGTCCCCAACAGGATGGCTGATAGTTGGCTCAAAATGCAGTACCTTTTGTTCAGTACTTGAATGGGCTTGTTGATGTATCTGTGTTTCTCTAAGTATTTATAGCTATGGAATATTGGCAGAAAATAACATTTCAATTTTCCATGGTGCCAAAAAAATTGAACATGGTTTCTTCAAAATGAGCTTTTCAGTTTGTACTCTAAAATAAATCTGCTTTTGTGAGTTGAGGATAAATGCAGAAACAGATTTGGGTGCATTGCCTATTATTGACAATCTCATTATAGCAGTTCTTCTGTTCCTATTATGAGATTACTTCAATTCATCATGTTTTATGGAACTACCTGAATAATTATATTTATGGCATCTGGAGTTGTGTGAAACATCTGACTTGCTGAAAAGTATTCCATTTTCATAGTTTCATGGCAAAAAAATTTTATTTATTTGGAACTTTTCAGGAAGAAAGAAGATGGTTTCTATTACATGTAGAATGTGTTTGGGAGGCTTTGAAATTTCAGTCTTAAAATTTCAGCCAAACTATTCCTCTTTTTTTCTTTTTTTGTGTGCAGGGGATGGGATTCTGCTGTTGAACAAAAAAGAAGTATTATAAGCCCAACTCTAGCACTAAGTTAATGCATTTATTTTTTTTGTTTTGCAACATGTAGAATGATGACATAATTACCAGCTTAATGCAAGGAAGATTACATCTATAGCTCTGATACAACCACACCTTGAATAGGTCAGACAGAGTCCTTTCTCTATCAAAGCAAGGAAGAACTCTGAACCAGATGGTGATTCATAAGGCATTCACTCCTTATTTCTGCTTGCACATCATCGGTAAAGTTGCGATTTACAGAACAGCAATCTAGTTTCTGGTCTGCCTGGTCTCTCTCCCAGGGCTTGTCTAAATATCATAGACCTCTAATGAACAAAATGATTAAAAAGAACATATATTGATCAATAGGTAAGGCACTCCAGTCTACATTTATCTGAAGACTCTAACCATGAAACAAAACAAGGAAATTATTTAAAGTATAAAAAAGGAATATAAATAATGTGAGTTGATGAATGAGAAAATGTAAGTAGAATATGATTGTGTGTTGGGGGGTGGTAAATAAAGACTTCTATAAATGGAACCAAGTAGGCTGAAAAAATTGAAGGGTAGAATCTCCATAATAAATTGGAAGCTAGACTCGGTGTAACAATCTTATTGTAAGGAGCAATCCTTCCATTAGTTAAATCAATGTAGAAGTCAGTGCCATTAATGAAATTAGGGTCTTTCTCAGGATGAGCTCTCTTGTTAGATTCAGTTATGGGACTTCTTCCATGTTTAGAACCTTGCATTTGTTAAACATTGACCCTAAAAAAAAATTGAATGAATTATAAAGTTCAAATAAATTCAGGCATCTGATGGCTATGAAGTGTTCTATTTGTCTCATTCTTCAATGTTACAACTGCTCCAACCTCAAGAATGCATGGATGACATTAATTTTAGAGCACTTTAAGTCGAACACAATTATGGAGTAAAAGGTTAACTGTAAAGGCACATTAACCATCTTTACAGAAGAAAAATATATTGAATCCTATCTGTGTTGATGACCTGGGATGCCCCATGATTTATTTTATCATGAATTTCTTCAGGTGAATTGTTTGTAAAAGAATGAAGTCTTCTGAAAAAGTAAATATGTTTTAGACAGATTCAGAAAATCCTATACCAGAAGTGCTGCTTCACTAAAATATTTTGACAGTAAAACTTACCTCTCTTCCATAAATGCAAGGGCAATGTAATCAACACGGTTTCATTGTACCAAGGAGGACAAGTAATAGAAAAACGATTCAGAAGGATTTTTCAACCATGGCATGGTACAGAGTATTAGATGGTATAGGATATGAAGGAAGCTTAAGGGTGGATTTGTGAATAGCTGAATAAGCATGAGCCTATTAAACATCTAATAGCTACATCTAAGTCCTCTGGATAAAACCTCCCAGTGAGTGGAGGGAAGATGAATTAAATTTAAGAGGTAATGGCTGCCCTAGGTTGGTACTAAAGGAGGATTTTGCCTCTCCATTTTTTTCCTCTCTAATCCTTTGCAAGAGACCAGGGTTTGGCTCTCAGGTTACTGCAATTAAAAAATATAATAATAATCAGAATGCTCAAACCTGGTGGATGTGGGGAAATATTATCCCCATATTTTAAATGCTGGGGCAGTCAGCAGTGGTGTGACTTGTTAGAGCTACACAGGAAGCCAATACCAGAAGTGGAATAAAAACACAGGAATTTCAGGCTTTCAATCCCATAGAACATAGAGTTTGTTTATGATTTTTCTAGTTAATACTTTTTTCAAAGCTTTGAGTGTGCTTTGAATGTGAGGTTGAATAATACTGGCTTTCTTCCAAACATAGCTTCAGGCAGGCACTACACAAATTTCCCTCCATCAGTTCTTACAGTGCCCCTCAATATACCTTTGAGCTGTGTAATAATTTGCTTATGGAACATGTATATGCAAAGTTCATTTCTATATCCCCTTACCACAAAAAAATAAACATGTTCAAATTTTCCCTTAAGCCTTTTTGTTTTCTCTAAAGAAAATTAAGACAAAAGCAATGCTGCCAACTCACTCAGCCAGAACTTCACTATCTCTGCCTTGGGCTACCTTAGCATCCTTCTTAAATATAATAGTTAATTGAGTGACTAATCCAGGGTTTCGGCTGCATACCCTGTTTTAACATTTCATAGCGGGACACAGCCATGTACCAGCTGGCACACACCAACCCCATTCCCTGCAAAAGTCAGTTATCAGATTTTATCTGTCAATCGAATTGCGCATGAAAAATATAGCTAGGGTGAACAGGATGGGCAAAGACCCAAAGAAAATCAGTACATATAGAAATGTGTGAGGGTTATCTTCCATATCAGCCTTCAACATGGTTTTGTAGGTGACTGAGTAGAAGAGGAGCAGTGTGGCCTAGGGCTTGCTGCACATTTCCCTTCAACTTTTACTTCGGATTTTGCCAGCACCCTACGGTAAAGGGGCTGTGCTCAGAAAACACAGAATCTTTCAAAAGGTTTGCTTCAGTGATTCTTTGAGGACCATACTCCATTAAACTCAGGGTCCAATTGAATCACAGTTTGAACAGCCCCTGGCCCTAGTTTTGAAAGCATTGGCCACTGCTAATGAAATGATATAAAGGACAGCAGAACTAACCTTTTATTTTTCTACCTTGGACTGAGTTCTATTTAGCAACGACATGAAATTTCTATCAGGTTCCCTCCGTATGGTCCTTTCAGGCCTCCAATAAAGGAATGAATACCAGAGCAAAGCCTTTACCCATTCAGCTTTCAGCTCTGTTAGCTTTCAATACCAGAAATGTATTTAAAACCGGGTAAGGTTTGTTAACTCTAATATACCACTGTCAGTCATCCTGATCCAAAAGAATAAAACTATATATGTGATAGGATTAGCAATTTAAATGAAACCATTTTACTTCTTGAAAATAGACTACTGTGGAACAAAAAAAAAAAGATTGTGTAGAGGATCACATTAACCTACAGCAATAATATTATAGCAGCACTGTTCATGATACTATAGTTAAGATTGTTCCAACATGTCTTGTCCCTCACCCCATAGCTTACAGTGTTCAGGTTATTTGGCCTTAGAATGTAATACTATGTTAAAACTAGGAGGACTGTGTAAGGTCTCAAACCTAAAGTCAAACTGTAAGATGAAATACTGCAGATCTTTAGCCTGCAATCAGTTCCAGGGCAAATAGTTGTTTTCTAAAACCCTGAAAATACCCGTGTGGGGTACTGTATGTAAAAAGAAACAGTTGCTTATGCATCATTACAGAATCATAATGTTAATAAATCTGATTCATTTATTTGCACAAGGGAATATACTTTCTCACTTTCCCTGTCGTGCATGTGCATTGAGAGTAACGTAGGGGATATGAAGGTGTCTGTAAGCAAATAATAACATACTATGTTACATCAGCCTGAAACCAAATAAATGGTTATAGCCCAAATAAATGCCCCATTTAATTAAAGATACCCGTGTCCATTTTGTAATCACGGAGTAATCCTGTCCCCGCTATTATCTAGACATGAAATTAATAATTCTGGGTTCAAGATAGCGCTAACAAAATTGCAGGTGTTTTTGTAAGTTGAAGTTATATGAAGCACAGTTTGTCAAGCCAACAGTTACCTGTTATTTTTAAATAGAGTGATATTCCTGCACACACACAGCAGTTGGTTTCTGACTGTTATTTGTTATTAAAAATGGTATAACTATCATTTTCAATAATAAATAACAGTCAGGAATGAACTGAAAGGGATACACCTTCCCCACCCAACTTTTCAGTTAAGCAGTTTTCATTTGGCAAAAGAAACCTAGAGCTTCATTCTTCTAAAATCACAGATTTCTCAGCTATGAAAAGCAAATCTTCAATCATCTCAAAATGCTATTGTAGGAGGTGGAGGCTTAGCTAATCTTTTTGAATGCTTTCTACTTCCCTTCCAGTCTGTCACGCGCTATGTATTATTATAAAGATCTACTACTTTTTCCTAAAAAGTGAGCACTGTACAAAGGGAAGAGTGAGTCTGGTCATCATCTGGGAGACAAGTGAGAAGTTCAAGATAAGTGAGAAGTCTAAGATACCTGATTAAGTGCAACTTTGAATACATTGCGAAGGCATACTTTTTCCTGTGAAAACCACCCTTCAGTTCTATACAAAATGGATTTGCAGTGGAAATATAGGCTACATGGTGTGTGTTCTGTACTTGTAAGCACACATTATTTTAGTTTCAGGTGTAGAGTAGGTCTCAAAGGGATAATAGAGGAGAAGAACTGACTTTTAAATTGCCATATGTTGAAGGGAGAAGATTTATTTCATTGTCTGCATTCTACAGAATGAGAGAGAATGTGTGCCAAATAAAATGGAAATTAGGATTCAGGGATACAGCTTCTGAATCAGAACTTCGTAGACTTTAAGTGCTGGAGGTTGCAAGTGAGAAAGGAACAGTGGAAACAACCTTGGTCATACTCAGTTCACTCTCCCTTTCATTATCCAGTCTCTCCCACTGTGTGGCACAGGACACCGGGCAAGATGGACCTATGGTCTGACCCAGTAGATAGCAATTGTTATATTCTTATGCTCTCATGGAAGTCACCTGCTAGTCAGCTTGATGCTATCATATATGTAGACTTTTTGAAATGTTTAAGATGGGCTTTGAACATGAAGAAATATAAGTCCTTGATTTTAAAAAGACAGTGGCTACTGAACACATATTAAAGACAGCAATATTGAAAATTGGCCTTGAGTATTATGCATAGTTGCCATATTTGAACACACAATATAAATTGGGAAAGGTAAATACCTCATTTTATGTTCTACTTGTCACTTAAAAGAAGTTTTCTATTAAAAAAAAAAATAACCTAGGAGCAGTTAGAATTGATTTCATCATTCTAGCTATCTCAGTCTGTCTGTTTCCTAAGGGAAAGCATTTTAGGAAGCCACTGCTGACATAATGATGCATAAAGGGAAAACAGCATGATGTAAATGACTCAAAAGATTTAATTTAACTTTAATGCTAATATAGGGATGTTCCTTGTTTATCCAAAACAGTTGCTGGAATCTGTGAGACTTTGGACTGCGAGAAAGGGAGGGGAAAAGGAACATAAGATCAAGGCATAAAGGTGTTTTTCTTATACATTTTTTCCCTATTTTTTCTCTTTAAATATATATCTTCAAGGAGTTTCTGTACATTTGCCTTGCCCAAAGTATTTTAGGTTGTGTTAAGAAAAGAAAAAATAGTGAATTTACTGTGTAATATAATATTGTGTGTGCATGTGTAATGTAATACATATAAGTGCACGCAAATATGTACTTTTTACTTTTACTCTTTAATGTTAAAACACAGTAACAGTTTTGGGAGCAGGTACCCAAACCAAGGGCTCGTCTCTCTTTCTCATAGATGCCCTAACCACTGGACTACAGAATCATTTCCTGCTCATTCTTTCTCTTTGGCCACTGAGTTTGGTACACAGTGGCATAGCTTCCACAGGAAGAGTGGAGAGTGTGGTCCCACCCAGGATAATTATGGTTCTAGCAGTCTTGTGGGTAAGGACCTACCTAAGTCACGGTGAGACAAAGCATTTTTTGCAGGCTGTTCGTGGCATGCAGGACTGATTGTGTGGGCATTTTGTAGTGGCCCCACCCCTTGCTGCTGATTGGCAGAGGAGCCCCAGTGACCCTGCTACTCACTGCTGATTGGTGAGAAGGGTGTTTTCACTCAGTCTAGGTTACTACTTCTTTGGCGGGGTGGTGGGGAGGGAGTTCATTTCTTGGGAAATGACAGCCAATGCTGAATTTGCTGGGATTGCAGTGATCACGGGCAATTCTGTTTTTTGCAGTTTCCCAGAAATCCACAAAACCACAATTTAGGTAGGTCCCTACTTATGGGATGTTGGAGAGGTGAGTTTGAGTCTCCCTGGACTGAAGAAGGAATTCAATGTGTGTTTACCACTTCCTGATTCAGGTGTTTGACCACTAGGCTATTACTTAGAAGTGGGCACTGCTGCTGCTCCTCCTGCTGCTGCCGCCACTGCCTCTGCTGCCACCACCACCACCACTGCTGCCACCTCAAGAACCACCATTGGGAAACAAAGTGACATCTACAACTGCATTTTTTGAGAAGCCCCATCTGTATATGGTGAGTGCACACTGACAGAGAGGCATCTACTTCTGCATCCTGATTGATCTCAGGCTACACTAGGTGTTGCATTGTAATGCTGTCATGACTTGAGATCATTCTGGATATGTGCATAAGTGCAAATGTACAAGTTTGCAGAAATTAGAGTAAAAAGTTAAGGTGTTCTTGGAATTCAGGCTCTTCCAGGGTTAAGTGATCACTGAACAGGGATTTTTTAGGATTGCAGTTTCAGATTTAGGTGCCTACATTTGCTTACAACCCACTTCAGAGGCTTAAGTCCTATTTTGGATGTGACTTTAGCAAAGCCTTTTACAAACCAATTAATTTCAGCTTCACTTCTGACACTATTACCCATTGTCTCAGCCAGCTTGCAATCTCAAGATTCAAAAGTGAATTATTAGCTTATAAGGAACAGAAAGATTATGTGATTTACCCAGGACCACACAAAGTGTAAGAAGAGATGCTAACTGAACTAAGATCTTTGGAGTTTAAGTCAGTGCCTTAACCACAAAGTCACACTTCCTGTCAGCTGCATATAGGTATCCTCACTAGTATTTGAGTTGAATCCATAAAAGGTGACTTAAGTGGAAAAAAATATTAAAACTATTCTAAATCCTTAATCAAAGCTCTGAAATATATTCAAATATTTGGTCTATAAGTGTATTTCTTCCTTTTTCTTATCTTTGCACAATTTCTGCCACCTCCTGTTGTTATACATACTTAAGGCCATTTTGTCTGTGAAATTAGAAGACAGGTTCATATGAAAGAAACCTGCACAAAAGTATATCCCATGTGTGTGCCTTTTTGTCGGTTCATTTGCAAATATAGCAAGGTAAATACCTTCACTAATGACTACTTACAGATAAGTGTGCATATGCCTAGCAAATATATATTCTTTTATATATATTAATGAAGCCATATATATATTCATGTAATATGTGTGTATATACACACACATGTGTGTATGTGTATATATATGTGTGTGTGTGTGTGTGTGTGTGTGTGTGTATGTACAGATATATCTTAATCAAGCCATTGACAACTGTAGAAGAAACAAGGAATTCTGAATCTGGAACTTGAAAGCTATAGTATAGAAAATCATACCTAGCATGTATACTGGATATTGCATATTTTTATTCCCAGTCCCTCCCTCCCTCCCTTTCTCTCCACACCCCCCAGTAGAATAACACTAATGTAGCTTGTATAGCAATAAGATAGTAATGCAATTTATGGCATGGATTAAAAAGAAGAAGCCTTCTGTCATACACTCCCTTAGTTTTCACATATTTTGCGCCTTAGGCACATGAGTACAGGGGTTGCTCAGTCAGAAATACTGACTGTCATGACTCTACTTCCGAAAGTCAAATGTGGCACATCCCAAGGGTTTGGGAACTTTTATTATAATATAAAGTATTTGTAAAGCAAAAAAAAAAAAAAAAAATTGCACCGGAAAATCCACATGTACAATCTGGCTGCCAAAAGGATAGGTTTCCATAGTGATTAAATTGGGTTGTTCTACCATTACCAGGCTCTGGCTATGCTTGCTTCCATCTCGGTTTTGAACTCTGCTTCAGAATTGAACTCTCACCCAAATATCTACTTGTTGGTGCATCCCACCTTCAAAGACTTAAGGATAATACATCTATTATACTTAGGCTTCCTCTGCACATGCAGATAAAGGTGTGATGGGCTCTAATGCACGATTCACACAATCATGTCTCCTGCCATGCCACATGTGCATGGCAGGAGCTGTGATTGTGGGATTGCACATTTGATCCCATCATGCCTTATTGCTGGTGCAGGGGGAGCTTGATTGTGGGCTGCCCCTGCACCAGCAAGAAGTAGGTTTCTGGATCTGGAAGCCACCTGAGTGAAATCCCTTGGGTGGTGGAGATCGAGGCAACCATAATTCCCAGGGCTCAGGGGAGTGTGAAACTCCTGAATTCTGGGAGTCACAGCTGCTTTGATCCCTAGGGCCTGGGGGTTTCACACTGGGCATGGTACACCCATGCAGCTGGGAGCCCTGTCAGCTGATAGGGCTCCCAGCCTCAGGGAAGACCCTGCTACATGTGCAAAATAAGCTGGATACCAACCGTCTATAAAATTAATACATATAGTCAAAGTCTAACTTTATAGTTTGTAGGAGCTTTTTATCATGTGCTAAGTCATTTTCACTTGTAGCTGGTCTTAAAATGATTGTGCAATTACTTAGTTAATTGTGCAATACCTGTAATGTGTACATGGGCCTTAAAGGCCTGTATCTTATGCAGCATCATGGCTACCATATACCTAATTAAAATGGATAGAATCATGCTTATAAGTGGGCTGCTATGTCTTTCCAAATCTGCCCAAATACACAAGAGACAGCAAGTCTGGTCTGATATGTATGAGAAGAGGTTGTATACCCACCAAACTCTGCACAGCTGCTGAGGCTTTGCTAATTGCTGCTGAACAATGGTGCTCAGCTGTTCAAAACCTTTTCTCACTACTCATTGCTTTATAAGATCAAGTTCAGGAACAAGCTCAACAGAAAGTCTGTATTCTATCAAAAAAAAATATATGTATATAGTGCCTATGGCTTTAAACGGATGAGAAATCCCGTATGGTTCAGAGGATGTTGCTTCTATCACAGTTCCCACGGGACTAGACATCTTTTATATATAAATACCTATTCAGTAAAATGAATCAATTCCAAGTACAGACATGATTTATCTTCTTCAATAAACCTTGGACCTTATGATAAAATTTATGAAATATTGCCCAAGAAATCTACTCACATACAGGAAAATGTTTCCATCTAGTATGTGACTCAGCGGCTGCTTCCAGGAGTTCCTTTGTGGCTGGGCTGCTTATGTTCTTCAAAATGTAAATGGGAAATCACATGTTCCGTCGTTTTGCAAATGTTGGTGTAATTTTTCACAAGCGTGCAAAGCTATACACTCTCCAACCAGCAAAATATTGATTCTTTTTGCCTATTTCTTTATTCATAGTGAAATATGTATGTTATTGTTTTAGTTTAAAAAATACAGCACTTTTCCAAACACCTTCACTCAGGGATCAGATATGAAAGAAATGTTTG